CCTACTCAAGAGTCTATATGAATTAGAAGTTTGTATCAAACTTAGTTTGTTTCATGGTTTAATAAAGGGCAAAGTTTAACAATAGGTCTCTTAAGTTCTCTGTGTGCAGTTCATACCATTACCACATGACTCTTACCGTCACTTCCATGATGGAGTCTAATGACTCTTCCCATATGCCACAATAGTGGTGGAATATTTTCTTCTTTGAGTTGAAAGTCTCCTTTTGGTCTTTGTCACTTAGGATATTGTAGTTGTGAAAGATGTTTTCTTGACCACCTCTTCCAGAAATGTTGAAGAACAGATTGATGCAATTTCCATCTTTGTCTATAGGAGACAGGCTCTTGCAAAAGCTCCTGTTTTGGTAAAGTAGAAACTGAAGCTCCAATCAGAAAGTGTTTCGGTGTTAGATCTTCCAAAATCTGTAGGATCCTCAAACATTGATGTCAATGGACATGAATTCAAGCAGGACTCGACCTGAGTGATGAGTGTAGTGAAATCAGGATATGTTAGTATTTGCACATCCTACACTTCAACAAAAGTGATGTTTCATCGACTTGACGGCTGATTCCCACAAACCACCAAAATGAGGGGCTGCTGGAGGATTGAAGATCCATTTTATACTTTTGGAGGCAATATATGCTCAAAGTGATTAATCTCATTCATATTGAAAAAACTTCTGAATCTCTGTATTAACTCCTTAAAAATTAGTGGCACAACCACTAAAAATCTCTACTGGTCTACCTATTTAATCCAGCAAAATGGAACTAAGTGAATTTTGAAATTACAGTCAGTAATAGAAAGGGACTGTAGTATCTATTGAGCATCTCCTTTTAAATACTGTAGCTTCCGAGTCTCAGACAATCTTTCATTTTTTCACAGATATAGAAATATTCAAAAAATGAGGAACTCAGGATATGTTAGTACTGCAAATACTACACTTCAATGAAGGTGATGTTTCATCAACTTGACAGCCAATTCCCACAAACCACTAAAATCAGGGGCTGCTGGAGAATTAAGACCCATTCTATACTTTTGAAGACAGTATAAGCTCGAACTAATCCGTCTCACTCCATATTTTGAAAAACTCTTCTGGATCTCTTAGTCAGCTCCTATAAAGTTAGTGCCGCAATCACTAAAAATCTCTACTGGTCTACCTATTTAATCAGAACGGAACTAAGCGAATTTTGAAATTACTATCAGTAATACAAAACGACTCTACTACCTTTTGAGCATCCCCTTTTAAATACACAATCTTTCATTTTTTTTCCGTAGATATAGAAATATTCTAAAAATGAGGAGTAAACCTAATTTCAGAAACACCATTTGCACGAGTGTTTGATGTACCCAAATATCAAATTATCACATTTGTTTTCTTTTTTGACAAAATCAATTTTTCTAAGCAATCTCTTGTTATTAAAGAAGATCCAAAAAAGCACGACAAGTAGAAATTCTACTAGAAGAATGTGTTATATTATGTTTCAATGGTGGGAGGGATGGAAAAACTGTTTGCACATGTTCTATGTACCTCACTATTCACAAAGATTGATCCATTATGATTTTAAAGATATATCCATTGAACATATTCCACTCAGGTGTTCTCATTAATACCCTACACAACTGCACCAACCAAGTTGACGAATCGCAACTAAAACACAAAGATAGACCCAATGTGATTTTAAAGATATATCCCTTGAACATATCCAACTCAAATGTCTTCTTTAACACTCTACTACACTAACTAATCCAAACTAAAACTCCAGTTGTATCTTGTGTATGAATACTGTTCAGGTGTTAATGCAGTAAAATCCAAATTTTAACTGTCTCTCTTTGTTCTTTTGTTTTCCCCTTTCCTCTGCTATCAGTTAGGAGGAAGCTGACAGCAGAGAGACATAAGATAGTGATGTAATCAAAAGTAGGTTATTCTTCTTCAAATAGTAAAAAATTTTGATTTTCCAACATCCAGTTTTATAATAAGGCAACATTAGTTGAATGCTTAGCAGTATCAAAATAATATGCACCTTACTCGTAAATAAGAAAACAAATATTATCAAATCCTTTCAAGTTCTCATTTTTAAGAAACTATGGCAGCCTGTCACTAGAGGTCACTATCCACTGCAACTTTACTATGATTGATTATCAAGCCCGACTGTAAGAGCCCATGCAAAAAGTACTGTTGTTATTACTTGGTGCTTGTGTGCTCTTTATAAGAAGTTCAGTTTTCTTCTTATTATTAATGTAGTAAAGTGATGCATAAATAATGTCATTATTTCTTCAACTGTATACATGGTAACTATTTGGGTAAGTTCTGTTTACCTAAATACGTACCAAAGGATTATATGCAGTTGTGTCCTTCCTTCTCCAATGAAAAAATATTAATGTGAAGCTTTGCAAAATCAAGGGACATAAGTAATTCCCACATATGACTTTTTCACTCAAACACAGACATGACATGTTTACATTTCGTTTAAAGAGTGAGTCCTTTACTTTCGTTTAAAGAGTGAGATTGATACTTTTTATTGCTTTAGGCATAATTTTGTCCGATTTTAATACGGTTTGCTTTAAATGATCCTAATATATAAATGATTCTTTACAAATAATTTTGAAAAATTGATTTTTTTAATGTCTAAAGGTACTAAGTCTATTTAAGATTCAGAGAAACATATAGGAAAATTACATTATCTAATGCAACATGATTTTTGACCAACAATAAAAACTGTCTGTTTGTAAAAGATCCAATCTTCAGTATTTCATATTTGATTGACAAGCCATATGGCATTTGTGGGGTCCCTTATCTAAAATATAATCAAGCAAATCGAGCACAAAATTTAAAATTTTCTTCCACTGTTAGAAGTCCTGTCAACTCATACAGTACAAAATTGGTCAATTTAAATTTTAATCTACATAGACATTTCCAATGTAATTTTATTTCACTAAATATAATTAAATTCGTAACTGGTATAGATTTCCCTTCCCATTATGGCTTTTTACTAATTTACTTAATAATTTTCTGCTGAAAAGATCTTTACAATATTTTATAAACCAAAAAAGATTACACTGCACAGATAACTGATCACCACTGAACTTAAATACCGAAATCCGCAGAAAAATATTATTCCAATATGCTTCACCTTAACCTTCTTACAGTTGCCTACCTAAAAATCTGAAAAACTGGGTGATTTTTTGCATAAAAATCAGGAGGTTTTTCACACTGGATGGTGATGTCATTTCACAGGAGCTTGAAATATATTTAAATTCACACTATAATGCATGATTCAGGTTACTGACCTACTAATACTATGATTCTGATTGTAAAATGTGTTAATATTCATACATTAAGTTCTTTAGCAAATTTCAATTTTTAGTAATTTATTGTTTATACTAAAATCTAAAGTAGGAAATGAAAGATTTTATTTATTAAAATACTTTAAAAAAGATTAAAAAATTATAATTAATCTACTTAGTTTTTGTGTGGATAAACTTTATAATGTATCATATATTGAAGTAAAACAAAATTAGATACAAATGTTAACTGATTAAACATTGCTTGATTCTTCACATGAAATTCTACAAATAGATCTACAATACATTAACTCTTTGAGTCGAATACTGTTTTGAATTTGCTCAAGAAGACCTACATTTACTAGTTAAATTTGCATAATTACCTATTTCAGTCTCTGTTTCCTATTTATTAAGATGATATTTACATCATTAAAGAAAATAAGAAAGCAGAATATTGTAAATTATAAGCTAATATATACCAAATGACAGAAAATTTCATGGCCAGATAAAAGTAATCATGCCCCTCAGGGGGTTAAGACAGTTCAGATACCAATCAGATTTAATAAGGAAAATTTCATAAAATGCAAAAAGTTACTTAGGGACTCGTGGAAAAAGAGCACGAAAATTTCCCATTGCCACTCTGACCAGGGAAAATACGATGCAGTTGAACCAAGACTGACACAGAAGGAGGGGGATAAAATGCATTGTACTATAAATGCGTGTGGAGGCACCAAAATCCTTTAAGTGCTTGGAGGCCTCTAAAAGTCTTAAATCTGCCTTTCTTATCATATTCAGGTTAAACACAACATGGTTTTCAGAACTGAGACCATAAAATAGCTTACTTTTGAAGATCTAAAATAAATATTACATCCTGCTAAGCTAGCTATTGAAAAAGAAAAGAATTTTAATACATGCTAGATCATGGTATATGTCATTCTAGGATATCTATTGCATCTAACTCTCTTCATCTTAGGTCTAAATCTACAGGTGATTTTCTGCCAACAAAAGATTACAGAGTATTAAACTGAATTACCATGTTTACATCAGTATTCTTTACATTACCTTCAGGACTTTTCAAATGGATTACATGGTAAAACAAAGTTTTCCAAAATACACTTAGACATACTATCAAATAGTTGTCCACACAAACATTGTGCCTAAAACTACATTAATTAACACCTTCTGGACCATCTGAATTTGATTGGTTTGTTGAGATGCAGCACACACTTTTCAAAAGTTCAATTAATGAAGTGCTGTTTGGCTTTCCATTTTCCTATGTTGATGATTTTGACTTGATTGCTAGCTCATCCGAAGCAGAACATGAAACACATCTTGAAATAGTAAATATCAATAAATAAACACAATTACAAGTGTACACTTGATGCTCATAATGAAGACCATTATGTACTGCAGGAAAAGGACATTACAAGCGGCTGCTATAAACAAAGTGGATTTAATATATTCTCATCAAATCCTTCATACCAATCACTATATGAGATTCTTACAGTGAGCATCAATGGTATATATAATGAGAAATATTTACTTGCACGTACATACAAATATTTGGTACACAAACTAAATATAAAAAAAACCTTTGAGTAATATAATCTCTGACTAATAATTTGATGAGGTACAAATATTCTCTTAGCAAATCAAAACAATATCTGTTGTTGCCTTTTAATAAAAGTTAACTTTATTAAGCAAAGTAAATGTTTACTTACGTTTCCTGCAGTCATTCCTGTAGTAGTATGAAGATATACAGGAAAAAAGAAAAAAAGAAATTACACATTTAAAAAAATTATTCATTTTCTTCAACTGATTTATAATTTTATAAGATAATATTACATTAGTTAATTTAAAATATCAAATAATTTCTAAAAATATAAGTATTCACACCACACACACATTCTGATTTAAAAACCTCTGCACACTTAGAAAAATTGTCCGAAGAGAACTTTACATGAAGATACCTCTTGCAAAGATTTAAAAATGACAGATCTGATCTATAGAACAGATCTAAATGCAAGAACAATGAACACTCAAAAACAAAGGTGCTATGTCAGTTCAGACTGCTTATATGACAATCCAGTTTACTTCGGCAAATAAAAATGTCCTGAAGGTGGACCAGATGATAACACTCCTGGTCCATCTTCAGTGCTACATCCAATAAAGCAAGAAGTCTCATTACTATCTTCACGGAAGTAGGCTCCTAACACTGATAAGTCTCCTGGCATGAACGTCAAAATACTAGCAAAGTCAGGTGATGTTACATATTCCAACAGATATCCACATGAGTGCAAATATGAGTCTAAGATGACAATTTCTTAGGAGGAGGATCACATGATGGTAAAAGTTACATGTACACTGATGGCTTTGCTATATGACATTAACTTAAACTGCTAGAAAGCTGGCACGGGGTGAATTCCATTGTTATCATTTGTTGTGATATTTACCATTAACTTCTCAGTATTGATAACATCATTTAATAATTACCTATTTTGGTAATACCTATTTTGATCTTGCAGATACAAAGCTTACAGTATACATGTTTGAAATCATATATTTGTTTGGTATGGATGACAGAAGAATTAGTACAAGAAGACCTGCTCACATTATTCATTTCATATCATAGAGCAGTAGCAGATCTTCATTACATCTGGGAAGTCATAGCATAATATACTTAATTATTTATCTCATATTTTTCCTATACCTAATGGCTGCAACAAACGAATTTCAACACTAAATAAAAACATAATTATAATAATTAGTTAGCCCTGTGGTAAATAAAAACATAATTATAATAATTAGTTAGACTATGGCACGATCAAATAAGACTTTCGAAAAGTACAAAAACATTAACAATAATGCTGACAAAAGAACTACAAAGAAATGCTGATAATTGAAAGTCTTCAAAGTAATTTGAAGACTCCCAGTGAAGATTCCATCAAATACATAACATGGAAAAATTTAAATAGTTAAACAAACATTTTAGTAAATGCATTAAAAATTTTAAAGTTTCATTAACAAAATTATGTGTGTTTATTAGCTGGTATTTTTGTTATATATTTTTTAAAATCATACTAAACACTTTTTGTTTTTATTTTGTACTTTTTTTTTTTTTTTTTTTTTTTTTTTTTTTTGTGGTTATATATGTTATATAATGCTACAAGAGAGACCCCCAACTGACTACAGTTGAATCCAAAATTCAGATCACAAATTATGGTTACTTTAACAGCAGTTTGAAAAAAAAATGTGGAAAATAGAAATAACTCATTAACAGAAAAATATTATTAATAATTTATCCATATTTTGAAGCAATTTAATCTGGAGAATAAATCAAGTTGATTATGTAAATTAGGATTAAAAACAGAAAGACTAACATTTTTGCTTATATCACTCTTGCATTTTGATAGTCAATAGGAAATAAAAGATCAATGGTTATACACTTACTTTTTTTTATGATATAGCAATTTATTTTTAAGAGATGATTTAACACTTTTTTAACAGATGATGTACACTTAAATTTGTCCTATTGTGAATGAAAATAATTTGTAAATTTTGGGACATTGTGCTATCACTGCTATTATGCCATGCATTTTCTTCTTTATGTAGTTTCCATGGGAATTTTGCTTTATTCTCATGGTTTGTAATAAGAATTTTTCCATCATTCTGCAATAAATTAAGCTATTATATATTTTCACACATAAGCCATTTTTGGAGCTTTTTCTAAAGCTAAATTATGGGGTTCAGCTTATATATGGATCTGTTAACTCACAAAAAACATATATATTTTTCCTTTAGCCAAGTGCAAGTGATAAATTGATAAACACAGCACTTTTATTTTTTATTTTTCCTCTTTATTATTTTCATTTTTTTTATATTTCTCAAGATAATGAAAAAAATTCATTTTAATCATTTTAAATGAAATCAATTATTCATTTTATGAAAATGAGTTGTTTTATTTCTGAAATTTCTTAAATTACTGATTTGTTGCATCACTGCCAAAACAAAAAAAAAAAAAAAAAAAAAAAAAAAAAATGATGCTGGCAAAATTTGTGCCCAGCTTAGAGAAAAGTACTAAAACATACACAGGAGTAATTATAGAATACCATAAATACACGGGAAATGAAAAACTACTTTAACCTTTTAACTTAACTTTTTGGGTTTTTTCATTACAACCTTTATATAAAAAAAGAAAAAATCATACATAGCTTTCACAGTCCATGTCAGAATTCAAGTTTCAAAATAGTTCATAAAATTCACTTCCACTCGTTGGGACATCTGGATGAATATAATTATCATTTTCCATACCGAAATACTTTCAATACTTCCCATACTAGAATTTTCAGGGTCATAAAAAAGAAAGTCTTTCCCTATATATGAACTTCTAACAGCCTATCTGATCAACCAACCAAAGTGAAATTTCAGATATTGTTACATGAAAGTAGGTCCTTGAAATTGCGATGATTTAAAATAACAGAGCTCTTACAGTTGCGGTTAGAGTGAAAAATTTTGAAAATTTTCAATTGACAACACACACATTTTTCCTGCACAAACTGATCAGAGTACTGAAAAACCATAAATGGTGTTGGAACAATACAAGTATGACCAAAAATTGCCAGTGTGAAACATTTGCAAAGAAGGACTTTGTAAAGGCCTAATGACAACATAAGAGAGGATAGAAAAATAAAAATATCTCATTTTGGAATTACAAGTTTTCAACGTGCCTACCTTTGCATATGATAATGCATTGTGTGCAGGAACTTGTTGACAACAATGACAAACCATAACATTGCAGGAGGAATCTGTACAACTTCACATTTCATAGCATGTTCCAATTCTGACAAATCTCATGGATTTGATATGTACACCTTAGAATTCAGATAAACACAGAACCAGAAATCCATCAGAGGTTGGGGGTTGGGAGATCACAGTGGCCATGAAACTGCAAAGTTACTGGAGATGATTCTACCTCCAGTTTGTTGTAACAGCAAGTGATGCATGTAGTGATGCATGCAGCAGCACCATCTTGCATCCATATGTCATTAATGATATTTCACTGCTGCAACTCTGGAATTACGTTATTCTAAAAAAATTGCATAATGTGCATTTATGATGCAGTATGTTCTCATAATTGTGGATGTGACACAATTGTAATGTACACTGCGTGATGTACAAAATTGTAATGTACAAAATTTACACTGCACAAAAAAAGGGGGGCAGTTCTATATCTCCCGTTCTACTGGGCTGATTGAAAAAATTCAAATTGCAATTTTCATGTCTCAAAAGCACGACTTAAGATATATATTACATTTATATATAGTACTATTCTAAAATAGGTATTTTGATACAAAATCGGACTTTTTCTGAAATAACATACCAGTTTTCTTTACATATATTGATTCTACGACTCAAATTATGCCTAAATATTAAATTTTGTAAAATTTGGTGCAAAATTTACACAGAAATTCATTTATATTGGAGCTTTTTTTCTTAATATATGGTAACCTATTTTCCTTTCTCTTTTTATATTGTGTGTGAGCGGAATAAAAGTCACATCATTCTTTCTTTCAAATAATGTTCTTTATATCATATTTTTAATTATAATTGTTTATTATTTAAATATTTTTTTTTTTCGTTTTCGAATTTCATTTTAATTGTTTAAGTTGCATGGTTTCTTTTAAATAACTGTTTTAAAAATTTCTATTTACTCATTTAATTGTGTAGTTTAAAAAAAGGTGCATCGTTTATTTATTTATTTTTTTTGAAATAGTTTTCTTCATACTATATTTTCAGTCATAGTTATTATTTTAGGTAATTTTTAAATTTTTAGACTTTTAATTTTTGTGTTGAATTGTCTCTTCAGATTATTGTATTAAAATTTTCTATTCATTCATTCGAACTGCATATTTTAAATATATTTATTAATATAAACTTTCCAGAACTTGATTTTATTTATTTGAATTGTGTTTCTTTCGGAAGAATACTTTGTGACTCAGACTATGATGTGTTTGAAAACCGCATAGATTAAAAGAGAAAATACAGTAAGCACAGTTAACACACTTTCAATGTTCCGTTCAGAAATGATATATAAATAAAAGAGATGTATATCCGACATTTTAATATAGGATGACTTGCATACATTGTTTTAAACTAGGGGTCTTCAACCCGTGGCCCACTGAAGGCATTTTAGAGGCCTCACATTTGAATTTGAGGAAGCATTGAAAAATTTTAAGAAATTTTGATTTCAAGAAAAATTGCCTTGTCAACTTTTTGTGGTAAAAAAAAAAAATTTAAAATGTCTTATTCTTGATATTTAAAGCATTTTATTCACATGCCTGATATTATTTGAGATAAAAGTTTCTGAAAATTATCTCAATGTTTTGAACTACTGCTTACTGGAAAAAGATTTACTTGTTCACAATCTGTATTATTTTATGAAAGCTTTTGGGACAAAATTAATCCTGTCTGTCAGTCAGTTGCTAAATAAGAATTCCACTCACTTTCCAAAATTGATGGAGTGTGTGAAGAACTCTACAACATGGAATTCAAATAATTTTGCACAATGCATTTCAAATTTGAAAGAGGAATTCAAAAGCAGATTTTCATGAAAATGAAATTTTTATCAGAATGTTATCTTCGCCATTTTCAGTAGACGTTGGAACTTTCCACCTGAACTTCAATTAGAATTTATAGATTTACACTGTGACTTTGCAATAAAATGCAAGTTTCTTGAGA